GTCGACTTCTGTGTCGACACATGGTTATCTCAACTCGAAATTCGCGAAAAGTTAACTCTAAAGTTCTTCATGAAACTTTGACACATCACAGGATATTGAAGTGAAACAAGAGAGGAAAATGGCAGCTCATGTTCGAGCGATTTTTATGAAAATTTATATTCTAGCCTTACTTTTTGACAATGCTCTATTTTAACGATAGTTGTTCATGGTTTATCCAAAGAACCAATGGCGGACATATTTCTTCTCCGTGAGAAAGGCAATTTTGCCATAGGGGCGGTCTTTTGGATAATGTACGTTTCCAGAAATCGTGTCCATGTTCGTAATGCTGACATTAGCTGCTTGGCGAAGAACTCCAGTAATAAAAATATCATCTATCTGAAAAAAAGAGAATTGAAGGGTGTTTTCATCAGGAAATGTTTGTAGTGTTTGATTGTTGAAAAAGAGATAGAAACGTTAGCTCTACAAATAGTTACCCAGAGAAAGCGTTGGAGATAAACCACGCTGAGCATCTTTCTTCACGACTGAGACGGGGACCAAGTAAAACCATCCGAGACAGTGCGGTGGATAGACTTGTTTCATTCCACTCATCCTTCGTTACGACCCTGAAGAACTAAATGAGATTCCAACGGCTCTTTACATTGCAGTTTCAGGAAATCGTGCCGCTTCTTACTCCTATAATTACTTCTTGAGCTTCCCCCTCATTCTCGAGCGAAAGCCAGCTAGGTGTCAGTTATGACAAGAAGGCTCATTCTTTTCCAATTTCCGATGTTATCAAGGTTTAGCTTTTTCCTAATTCAGGAGTGCTCGGTGAATGATATTTTTGGTCAGTCAAGTGTTCATGTTCCTGCACCGTACGAAGGCTAGAAAAGGGAGGCTTCCCACCTTAAATCAGAGCGATATCCCTTTGATGCTTGTCAATCCTTCCTTTTCTCGTAACTTTCATGTAAAATGGTATATTATTGGAACTCACCATTTTGATTTCGGATTTCGAAACGGTTTATGACCAGCACGCCTGAAAATACTCTTCAAAAAATCGGTATGCGATCTTTCATTGTGGCGTGTGAATATTTTCAGAAACTGTTAAAAAAGAACATTGCTACTCTCAACACGGCAGCACAGACAGCTCTTTCTGTCCTACCGAATCTTCTACCGATCCCGACCGAAAGTTTCGAGGAACTTAGCCCTGCGATTATAACAATGTCATACCCTATAGCCTATCAAGGAGACTCCAACTCGAGAGAAGAGATTCTCAGAGAATGTTCTGCAAGGATTCCCTTCATTCTTTCCCCCTTCAATGAGCCTAACTACGCCACTGCAAGTCACTATTTCGCTCAAGAGTACCTGGAACAAATGTGGGGGTCTCATGATCAGAAGAGAAAAACCATCGTAAATCCTTACATAGCACGTGCCCCAGTTCATGGCCACCATACAGGCCCTTCACCTTGTAGTACGTAGTCCACGTTCGTGGTGCGAGGTGTACAACCAACCATCATGCCTGTTACATGAGAAGCAAATAAGAGCTTATCAAGAACTACTTACCGAGAACAGTAGAGTTCGTGTGAAGTTAGGTTATTCCT